TTCTAATAGCAAATATAATCAATTGTGGAAATCCAGATGAAGCATTGCTCATTAAAAGTACATACACTGTAAATAGTAGTTAGGAGTTACATATTTTTGCATAAACTAGTATACTTCATTTACTTTCTCTAGCGATGGCCCCTTCCAATGTCTTGGATGCGCGCTGGCACAATCGTAGGTAGAGAGAAAAAAACTCATTATACTCTCGACTGTTGTTCATTAAACATACTTTTTCATACAGTACCTGCCAAAAGTTTTGTTCAATCATGAATAGTAGTGCGAGTCGAAAACAAGCGTTAAACCCTTTAATATTTCTTCAAATATAAATAAACATCTCGTTGATATTTTCAGTAGTAATCGGTACCAATAATAGCACATTTGAGCAATGCAATTGTAGTGGATAAAATGGTCAATTTTTCCGTACAGTACTGTACGGATTATACGCTCCTCACCAGTTAAGAGTTTGGCTGAGAGTTTTCTCCTTCCTTTTCTGGCCTAGTGCTGTTCTTTTCTACTTTGCGCCGGTTAAACTGAAGGTCACATCGCTACAGAAAGTAAACGAAGTATACAACCTTTTGCTAACGATATTTTGACGTAAAAACAATATTAATTCTCAACCATTCAAAGTTTTCAATTGTATTCCTCATTTACAAATTTCTAGATAAAAGTTCACAGAATTTGCTCGCCCTTTCTAAAATCCCAGACATTACGTACTTCCAAAGTGGAAACTCTGTAGAAAGAAAGATTAGGAGCCACACACTAATGAGGACAACCAGTTATATAATGAAAACGTTTTAACTTGAAAGAGCAAAAACCATCTTTTATAACTGACTTTACAGGGATGATAAACTGTATCGTATATATGTTAGACTATAAAACAATGTGCAAAAGTTTATAAAAAAGTTTGTACACGTGAGAGGGCCGGGCTCTACAACCAGCAAATAATGTTTCAAAAATGGCAACCAGTTTTGTTCGAAAGCTGTTCAAACGACATAGCAAATTAAATTTGGAGCACAACGGCGACGTGACATTGAAAGAACGCCGTCTGAAAAACACGCCTACTTCGTGTTCGATTCGTGTGTAGGTTATCTTAGTTTGCATCCAAGTTGCTTCGTGTACCTACATCTACAATAATTCTATAATACAATACTGTCACAATATCCTTGTTGAACTTCATCGTTGTATCCACCAAATAGGTAGCAGAAGTGTAGGGTACGCACAAAATTGTTAAAAATAAACCACATGCATCGCGATCAAATAATTATAATTTGATGAACGTTTTCGTAATCGCGAAAGGCCTACGGTGAAGTAATTTTCAAAATTAAAGATTATCTCAAATTACTATAAATGAGAAAGTAAATCCTAAATAGTTACTTTCAAATGTTTGGCGAAATTCTGTTTTAGCTTTAGTAAACAAGAAAAGATGAGCGAATTTCTTAAAAAAGAAGCAACTTTAGAGTTTAAAATAAACAGTTTGATGCATTTAACACTGCAAAAGTCTGACATAACAGTTCGAAAATAATTTGGCTTCATATAACATGGGTTTATTAAAATTTAATAAGTGATAATAGAGAAAATAGGTATGCGCTCGTTTTAACATTGTTTCACCACAGCTTTGGATAATTTATGGTGTGAATTAGTTTCCTTGATTAATTAACACCGTATTATTTGATATGCATTCAGTCGAGTGCTATCCAGTTCGGAACAAAAAAAACACCTCTTATTGATAATTACTAAATAATTTGTTCATAAAAAACATTAAAACGCCCTTAACAACTGTACATTGTTTGGTCCTTCGAGCCGGATTTACGAATGTACAATCATTAAAGACAAATTATAAAGTTGTGCCAAACACTAAAAGAAAGGAGTTAAGTATCGAAACAGTATTAAAGAATATTTGAAGAAATTTACAAAGTTGAAGTGAACAGAGGAATAAACAAGATTTGGAATCTGACGAAAGCAACGATTTGAAATACTTATAAAAAATTGAATTTAGTTAATAACAGAAACTTCCGCTCCTTAGAAAACTAACGTACATTTCACCTAAATAATAAAACAGGTCACATTTTTCAAGTTGGCTGCATCTATAGATATTAAATATGAGTATTAGCTACCCGAGATAAACATGTTCAGTCTCTCAAAGTCTCTTTGAAAGCGAGACTCGAGTCTCCGTCTCTCATCGAAGTCTCTCTGGTATCGTTGAGAGAGACTGTCGAGAGACTGTCAAAGTAACTGTTTAGCGTCTCTGAACGAGAGACCCGAGTCGCTCATAGAGAGATCCTCATTTCGTATCCAGTCTCTGAACGAGGGACTCGAATCTCTGAACGAGAAACTCGAATCTCTGAATTAACAATTTTATCGTTCGAGTCTCTCATACAGAGACTGTGAGAGATCCATAAAAGCACCTAGGCAATAACTGAGAAACTGTGAGAGACGCTCTCAGAAACGCTGAAAGACTGTGAGAGTCTGGAAAGAGACTGAAAATTTTTGTCTATGGTAGTCATCTAATCTAATCTATAGTTAAACCGCTCTTATCGTGCCGTAACACGATTTATCAACGACAATTTTTTCCTTCATTTCAGCTAATATATATTTATATACACCGTCCAAATAAAATCCGTAAGATAAACAAATTAAGCGTATACAATTTCGGCAACTGAAAATGGAATATAGACATTTCAGCGGTTCAAAAAAGTTTTGATTAAACAGATGTCCGTTTTGTGATAATTTTTGAAGTGACAAATAATTAAGAGCAATTATCTACTTTTTGGAGCCGCAAGCAAAAACAATGATATTAAATTTGATCAGCCAGTACAAAAAAAATGGGATTCCCTAATTAGTTGGTATATTGTCTGTAATAACACGACATTTGTATTGTTGCTGTGTTTTTTGATTTCATTCGTTTAGTTAGTGACCTTTGCAAAGGCGGCCAAAAGCGTATCAAGCACGTGTATTTTTTAGCTTATGTGACGATCTTCCAAATTCAAAAGGAATATTGGAAATATTTCAAAGTACAAAATAAATTCTTTTGAGAACGGCGAAACTTCAGAATAAAGGTAGATACCTCCAATTCATTCATCAATAATTTTTCGTAACTTCATATAATCATAAAATATTACGTTTCTAGCTACATAACTCTACTGAACTGTTCAAAACGAAATTATACAGCATAATGTGGCTTCGATCATTCTATTCAAAAGTAAAGTTAAAAAAATTCATGATGTGTAGACAGGTAGATAGCAATACAAACTAATTTTAAAAATATCTACATATTTGGTTGTACCAAACTTCTTTACGTTTTTAAGGAGCAGCCGAACTGCGAACGAAATGTCGCTTTAACCTGATAGGTATGCTCTGTCGAGCGGCCGAACTGTGGAACAAATCTCAGAATGGAAAATAAAATTCTAAAGTTATTTTTACATGGGTTCATATTATTTTCATATATGCACATTACGAAATTAAAATTACTGTATAAAAGTAAAAAACAAATGTGAACGGTTAATTTAGAAATTCGAAAAAAATTGTTAAAAGTGTATATCTGGAACGCGGCGCTGAAAAAAAAAAGGTTAGAAGCGCTCGAAATGTGGTGTTATACTGGTGAATAACATATTAGAGACAGAAACGGGAGTTAGGAGGGGTAGAGGTAGACCTAGATTAGATTACTCTTCGCAAATAGTTAAGGATGTGGGCTGTTCTAGTTTTAGGGAAAGTTTAGCTCAGGATAGAAAAGAGTGGAGGTACGTGTCCAACCAGTCCTAGGACTGATGACCTTATGATGATGATGCCTGGTGAATTATGAGGATGCCGTGAATAGAGAAGGTTAGAAATGAGGAGATATTAGAAAGAAAAGTCAAACAGACGTCACTATAGAAGTCAATAAGAAATAGGCAAGGTAGATTTGTAGGACACCTTCTCAGGCTTGAAGGACTAATTAGAGACATATTAGAAGCAAAAAAGGAGTTAGTAGGAGTAGAAGTAAACCTAGATTAGATTACTGTTCACAAATAGTTAAGGATATGGGATATTCTGGTTTAAGCAAAATGCAAAGATTAGCGCAGGATAGGAAAAAGTGAAGGCGGGTGGCGTGCCTCAGTCACTCCTAGGATTGACGACTTTGTTACACATAAGTGTATTTCGTAGTGTAGAATTTCCCTATGTTCGGTTTTCAATTCACCCCTAAAGTGTATATGGATCAGAATAGTGCTACCATGCGTCCGGGATTCTCCTGATTTGTCCTATGCTTGGAGGGATTTTGGATAAAACCGGTGGAGATTTTGTGTACACCTCAATTTTACAATTTCCCGCGCCATCTGACCGCTGTCTCTTCAGACCAGACATCCTAGCCAGAGTCCTCATTCATATCAAATTATTAAAAATATTTATTAGTAATATCAAAGCCGACCGACCAACGGCCCAAATTTTCGCTCTCATTCAAAACAAATTGTTAAAAATATTTGTTCATATAAATATATAAATGTTAATTATTACACAATTGGCTATTTTGTTTGCAATTCTCTATTCTGACCGTGATAACGTTATTGATGAAAAGTTCATACAATATTCTGTTACAAATAGTATGATCTGGCAACGCAGCTACAAGTAGGGGTAATTCTGGAGGGATATATCGAATTTCCACCACTCAGACCTGGGGTAGGAGAAATTCATGAATGAAATTGACGTCACTGCACTGCAACGAAATATACATATATTCACGGACACTGGTAATGAATTCAGAAAATCGATTGCTCCAGGGTTACAGGAAAGACCTTCGTTTGAGGGGAAATATAAATGAAACTTGAAAACTCGATCTTTAATAAGAAAAAAGCTCAAAAGCTCGAAAGTTTAACCGTGAATCAGAAAAGTTCCATTTAGTAATTCAATGTTCACTCGTTGTTTAAGTAAAAAAAAAATTATATAAGCCAAAAAAACTTAAAATAAAATGTTACAGAAAATTAAAAATAATAAAAGAGACATGGAATTTTGATCGCTTGATTTAGTTCTTCCAAAATGCCTATTCCTCAAATCTTTTGAAATTATTGGTTAAAGGTGAAGATGTTAGGCTATTTTCCCGGTTTATCAATTGGATAATTTCCCTATAAGGAGTTGCTCGCGATCATTTAAAATAGAATCAGTTTTGGAATTCTGACAAGATGTGAGTAAGTGCGAATCTAAACAAAATTCTCCCAAAAACACGCAGTTTATTGTTTCTAACGCAAATCAAATCGCATAAGCCGTGTGCCAAAATCAATCGGTTACATAATAAAAGACGCTCCGACGTCACGTTGTGAGTGAATCTAGAGCCGAAAATTATTCGGCGCCTGAGTCACAGGTCGTCGTCGATGCCAGCTGATATTTTATTTCGGGCCGTGATTCTACGGCGAGTTGTTATTTTAAATAGGTAGCAACAGATGTTTTTCAAAAATAGTACGTAGTTGTTATTATTTTGCCACATGATGTAGGTATCGTCTATTTCTGAGTTTAGTGCCTTGGAAAAGCTTGTAAAGTAACCTTCGCGCTCTCGCGCAAATGGCGAAAATCGATCTTTTTCGTGTACGACACTTTTCACTTAATTCTCAAAACACACGCCAAAAATAAGCAAAATTAACTTGTAATCGGGCACGAGTTCCAAAACATGAATTACACGAAAAGAAAATTTCCGAAGAACGGAATCGGATGGTCGAGATTTCGGATCGAAAAACCGCATCATTAGGAAATTAGAGACGATTTTAAAATCATAATGTCAACGATAATTCGAAAAAGAACCACTCTAACCACTTATATCGCAATATCCGAAGCGCCGCGTTACGTCACAACAACGTCATAGTACGTATCCGTGAAGTGGGGATCAGTCGGGAGGGGAAACGACGTGATAGAACGCTGCGATTGGCTACAGCCCCTGATTGCGACTTCCAAATATGGAACAGATGCTCCATTCATAAAAGTAAAACGGTTCTCGCGGCGCGACCAGTTTCAGAGACACGATTGTGTGAGGAGGTTTGAGACACAGTTTGCGTTGAGCCCGCGCACGGGCGTCTTCTCATACTTCGGACGCATACTCTGCACTATCACTTGGTGAAAAAACATCCACGCGAACCCGCGTTTCAAATAACTGACCACGTTGGTTTTTCGACGTCCGTCGGTAAAAGTTTTTTGCGCTTTGGTGAGCGAAGGAATTCGATCTGTTTGTTCAAGGTGTAAATTGAAAACAAAAAAAAGATATCGAAGTAATTAGTGAAAGAGTGCGAGCTGGCGCTTCAAAAAACCCTAGTTGTCCCGTGGTAGGCGGGTCCGCAGCGAGCATTTCCAACCCGCTGGCCAACATGATCATGGACGGGCTGGATACGCTGTCTGCACAGCATCAGTATCACCATCATCACGCTTCGGCCTTCCTCTTGACAGAGTCGGCTGCAGCGGCCGCTGCAGCTCATCACCACTTCAACGTGTTAAGTTTCGACACGTGTTTGTATAAGGGCAGCGGCTCCGGACAGGACTCGGACTCTAGCCCTGTCCCTGCGTCCGTCTGCTCTACCAACGATTTAGAGACAACCTCTTCGGAACCTCAGACGGGAGACCTTAACACTCCCGTCACCACTTCTGGAGACGTACCCTCCTTCTTTGGGCCCTCCACTGTCGTCGAACCACCACCTATTACAGGTGAGTTCGTCACCTTCAGATCCTGACCATCAAAGCGCTCTATATGCCTGTGCTTTATTAGCGATTTAGTGCAGAATTCTGCCCTCCACTCAAAACGGAAACACCTAATCCAAATAGCCTACATCTACTGTTTCCGAAACACTTGCAGTATACCCAATAAAAAAATGAGTCTTCAACTCTGATTGAATCAAAAGAATCTTTTGAATGAATGAATGAATGAATGCATTTTCGGGGAGACGTAAAAGTCCAGTACCTACTGCTTCATCGCTTTAGGTACATTTCATGAGGAACCTGCTGCTGTTCTAGGGTAGAGACTTAAAGTAGTACATTAAACTATTGGAAAAAGGAACATGATAATTAGAAATTATTCGTTTCCCCAGTAAGTAAATTCGTGGAGCAGGTGTGTTAAATATATAACAGGGAATAATAATATGCATTCCATTTATGTTTGCTTGCGTGCGTCGCTCTCGGTGTTGGCAGGTACGGATCGGGCAGTGTACGGTATGTAGTTCCTAAGTTAATAATAGCAATTGCGTCATTATGTTATGTCTGTATCGGATCGATTGTATGCTGCGGGATATGTACGAAAATATTGTATTGCAAGAAAATAAACGACCTAACGCGACGTACAACACGAACGATTCAGTATCCTGAAAGAAAGAATGGACGAAAAGGATTAGAAAGAGCAACCGTGAGGAATGAGCGCGCAAAACCCTAGGCAACAAGTGAATATGCCTGCTGATGCCGCAATTGTAAAGGAATCGTGAAAAATCGGGCTTTTCCCGAACGACGCAAAGGGTAGATCAATATTTCGATTCATTGAGGAAAAGCGGCTCAGATAACGTTCGCTCCACTCCATTCAAGATAACTGCGAGGCTTGCGTACATTAAGCCCAGAACCGCCAACCATTACTTTGACCCTAACCTTGTAACTATGATGTTCACTCAAAATCGATTGCCTCAAAACCATTCACCTCGTAAATATATTCTGGGATGGAATTTGTTTTCTTTCACTTACAATAATGACATACTAATCCCTAACAAAATCAACAACTCATCTATTTGTATGATCGGTAACGTAAAAATAACTTCATGGAATCAAGCATTTACACTTAGGTGCTTATTTCTAGTTCGATTTCCTATATCCAAAAATAACGAACGTGATACAAATTGAAATTTAAATAGAGCAAAGTTAGAGTAAGCTCAATGACATAACAGACGCTCCTTGGGTTTTTATCTGTTTCACAAAGAGAAGAATATTAGGGTGTAAAATGGATTTATATTTTACCAAATGTGAGAAGTACACCCATTTTACAAATAAAATATAATGTGCTTATCAAATATTTATTTATTATTTGAACTATTGTTAAAATAAAGAAAATAGTCATTACTTCACTGACTTTTTCTTTTAAAATCTCCTTCGGCATCCTCATAACAACACAGTACAACCAAACTATGAAACGATGCATGCTGAGTAAAGGAATGCTGTCAAGCTGTATCTGAGTGATTCGTTCATGAAATCGGATAACTGTCGTCGTAATTTAAACAAACCAGTTGCAACAAGTCAAAAATAATCTAGAACGCTAATATGTTTTTGAAACCCTCGAAATATTCGTTAGTCGCAGTAGACCTACATATTTCTACACGTAGTCTGTAGGTACCTACATCAAACCATCTTATTGCATGCGTAAGCCTTGTTACAAAACTGCACCATCTTTTCGGTTGCTTACTAGTTTACTTCAATTTTTTTTCAGGAAGCTTAGATCCCGAAGAATTACCATTAGAGCAACAACAACAACAGCAGCAGCAGCAACAGTCGCAACAACTGCAGCATTCAAACAGTCCACGCCAGTCTCCAATTCAGGTAAAGGAACGCTGTTCTCCTCAAGAGAGCGTCCTCAGCCCTGGAGACGAAGAAGTCAACAGCAGTAACATCAGCATGTATCCTGCTGGACCCTCCCAGTCGGTGAGCAACACGTCTGGGAAGATCCAGCAACGCTGCGTGTACTCCACTGCATCTAGTCCTACCCTTTCTGGGATGCAAGGGAATGGTAGCCCTTTAAGTTTAGGAAACCAGGGAATGGCACAATCGCCTGCTGCTGTTAATCCATGGCTGCTGTCCGATTCAAACAAACCGTTGTATCCTACAATGTTCGGTCTTCTGGGACAGACGGGTAGTTCACAATCTCCACAACAGCAATATCCGTCAGCAACACCTAGTCCTGCGGGAACGCAGTACGACGATAGATCCCAAGAAATTATGTTGAGCATGGAGTGTGGCGGTAATATGGCGTTGAAGCAACCCCCGTCTTATCCCAGTTGCTCTGCATCGTCGGTCGCACTACAGATGGACATTCATCAACAAGAGTTGGTTTATTCTCGCGTCGGCCAACCTCTTGTCGCAAGCACGTCGAAATATCAGTGGGATTCTTCCGATTACGGTGGTTCCCAAGGACCGAGTGCGTTAGTAATTCCGGGGCCGTCGAGTCTCGTGCCAAAACAAGAACCTTTCAGTGCGGGCTATCCGAGTGATATTGGACAGCAACCTTCTAGTTCCGGGCACACAGTCAATTTAGCGGAATACAATCCGTCGACGAGCAAGGGACACGAGATTTTATCGCAGGTGTATCAGCAATCGCCAGTTCCTCTAAAGTTAGTTCCAGTGAAACCGCGAAAGTATCCGAACAGGCCGAGCAAAACCCCGGTTCACGAGAGACCGTACGCGTGTCCAGTCGAAAATTGCGACCGGCGTTTCTCGCGTTCCGACGAACTGACGCGACACATCCGGATACACACGGGACAAAAGCCGTTTCAGTGTCGGATCTGCATGCGATCGTTCTCGCGCAGTGACCACTTGACGACACACATCAGGACGCATACCGGCGAGAAACCCTTTTCGTGCGACGTGTGCGGCCGCAAGTTCGCCCGGAGCGACGAGAAAAAGAGGCACGCGAAGGTGCATCTCAAACAGCGCATGAAAAAAGAAGGAAAGTTGGGCTCGTCTTCTTCTTCGGGTACGTCGCAGCAGAGTCAATCGTCGCCCCAACAACAGCAACAACAACAACAGCAGCAACAACAGCAACAGCAGCAGCACCATCACTTGCATCCTCATCAACAACAGCAACACTCGGGGCAGCATCATTCCCAGCACATGCATGTCTCACACACGGTAACGAGCGACGAGTCTATGGGAATGCCCGTTGTTACGACAACACTGTGAGAATTGCCCATGGCCGAACTGGCCACTGATTGTATTATTCTTCTACGCGACGACGACTGTGATCTCGGGACGGGTGGTGCCCGACTATTCTACGTGCGCATAGAGTAATAACGAACGCGATGATAATAAATAAAAGCAAAAAATTATCATCAATGTTTTCTCTCTTTTTTATATGTGTATGCATGTTGCTGGAAGAATCGGCGAAACGAAATACGATTGATCTCTTGAGGGCTTAGTGCCTACCCTCTCAGTGTGCCATTTGTGTCGATTAGTCTACGTATACACACGATAAGATAATAATTTGTTAGAGTCGAATCAAAACAAATCAAATACCCTGTTACAAAGTAGAAAAGAAAAACTTGCTGGGCATTCTCAATCGAAAATAAAAAAAAAATGTCTTAAGCGGAAAGGATATTTTTTATAAACATTTTGATAACTTTAGGGCGTATTTGGTAACGTAGACGAGATCTTTAATAAAAATAAAAATTATCAACATTATAAAGACAGACTAACCATGGCTTTAATTTATTAATTTTTACTTTTCCCGAATTAAATAAAAAAAAAAAAACCTTTGAATTGCCAAATAACACTTTAACATTCCGTACTAGTTTTGTATACTATTTGTTAGGATAACTATATTGTTTATTTATTTTAAATAACGAGGAGAGTATTTAAAATTAAATTAACGCACATCGTTCGGTAATCGTTGCCATATGTAATATCGTGCAACGCTGCTGGTACAGTACCTGCCATATATAGTTTTCGTTGATGAAATTCATTGAGTCAATTTACCAGTGAAATGCCTTAACTGAAGTGTCTTTAGTAGAGCGCATTTGGATTATGATCGAAATTAAAATTTTTTATTTCTCAATAAAAAGTTACCAGTGGCAAACTAAGTCCTACACCATCGAAATTTTGTACCGTACCGTACAAACCGAAAAAAGAGAAAGAAGCTGCAACTTTTTTATTGTCCTATATCCATAACAAGAAAGGAAATGTAATAACAATGTCCGTTAGTTAATAGTATCTATCTACACACCTAAAACATCTTCGGAAACGAATCGTTTTCATTTTTTTTTCGGAATATCAAAAGTATTTTGTGGTGCTTTCTACTACTCTAATAATGCGTACAAATATAGGCCTAATTATAGTCAAGACATTACCTTATTGTAAATAATTGTAAATAAATTGTTCCGTTGTAAATATATATCTAGCTTATTACTTCTTGAAAATTGAAAAAATTGTTGAATGTTACTATGTTTGTTGTTGCACGTGCGCTTATTTGTTTAAGCACACGTTTAAAAATCTCCTTTCCATTAACTGCACTCGATAACTATTTTTATAATAAAAATGAAAAATAGAAAATATTGTTGGACGTTACCTATATTTCAGAACTTTTGACATCATAACTCACGAGGCTGTTGTATTATGAATGTGATATTTGAATACATGAATATTGTAAATTATTAAAATTAAAAATATCTATTTATTTTGAATGCCAAAATTGAAATTCTGAATTTGTGCAAGTTGATGTAACATAAGTGGTTGTGTTCTAATTTATAAAAAGTTTATGAAACACTACCATTTCATCATTCAAATAAAAATCTAATTAAACTTGCTGCGTTTTATTTCCACTTTAGTTTTATTCAAACAAGCAATTAAAAAAAAAACTATTACATAATATCTCCATCGACTGATTCCAGTTTGAAAGACAATAAAAACAGGAAACAAAAAATCAGCAGAAAAGGACAAGACTGGAGAACATAAAAGGTAGTTTTACAAAGTTAATTTCAATTCTTTAAAGTGATTAATTTTTGTATTAATTTTTATCACTACATATAGCATCAAATTAATTACGAAAAATTATTGTTGTTGTCACGCCCTCGCCGGGAATCGAACCCGCGTCCCTGGCTCTATGCGCCATTGTTCATTGTTCACGAAGCTACAAAAGGTTACAGCATCAACAATGACTTTACGCACCTGACCAAGTGGGCCACAGAATCGTCGTCATCGTTATTCTAATAATTCATAACATTTAGGATTACCAATACATTGGTTAAACAGTAAGTGTATTGTAACGTTAAAAGAGAAGAAATTTCAACTCGGTATATAATCGACGATGGCACACAATCAAGGTTTAGATAAAAATTGTTCAGAGAAAATTTTATAAAAAAATTATTTTTAAAAACATGCTTCAAATTTTTATTAAAAAAATAAAAACAGTGCATTAAACTAATTCATTTATTTAAAACTTATTTCCTTCATTATTGACCGAGTTACGCATTATTCTTTTACAACAACTGCAATAGAGTTATAAGACTGCATTATTCTTATGCACGGATACATTTTTCAAGTTGAATTGATTTCTTATGTTCATAAAGTTTTTAGACGAATTGAATACAGAAAACCAAGCATCTCAATCCGACTTACTGCACAAAAATTCGAAGGTTTGACCTATTTTTGTGTATTAGTTTCTCCACTATACGGTGAAGAAACAGAACCGATTTGATTCTCTTATGCGTGTATTTTTGTTGTAATTGAGTTTAGAACATGTTTGTATTAAACTGGAGTCAGTTTTTGTAAATTCATCAAGTACCTAGTTCCTAGTAGCTTTATTACTTGGCGTGAAATTATTTAAGCACTCATGAAAGATTTAAAACAAAGCAAATTTTTAGTTGCAATGCTATACAGTAAACGAAAACAAAAAAACTTTCTCTTAACCATTCAATTATAAATATTATACCATTTCTTCGTGTGATTTAGACTCTATCTAAATAAAAATGTAATACTTAAGGCTTTTTCTGTTAAAAAAAATATTTCTTCTTTGAATCTAACATTTTACGTACTTTGTTCAATAAGAGAGAATAATTCAGTTACTGTATTTTTTTGCCTATATTTTACTTTTTTTTTTGTAAAAGAGTGATGCAGTTATAATATGTACTTTATATTCAGTAAATATCTAATACTAATTAAAGAATACTTTTTTATTTGTATATGATTGTGAATATTTATAGGGTTCGTATAAATACGAATGCAGAGTGAAGGTCGTAGACTTATATTTAACCCAAACTTTATTTCCGATTCAATCTATGCTTTTATATAATTTTCTGTAAACTAAATGACTAGCGCCTCCACCATTTCATTTATCAAAAAGCCAGCATTTGATTAGACTCTTTTATAAACACTATCTATTAAAAACCACTAACATACTAATAGAATTTCAGTATCTACTTACAGAAACAACAGTAACGATTCATTTTGTAGGACATACCTGAAATAAAAGAAAAGCAATTAGTTAGTTCAAAAAACAATTCTAAAAGTTGCGCTTATTGCGTCTAAATATCTGATAATGCGCAAATAGTTTTAAAAACATCAGAGTAAATTCAGTTTTTCATAAAGTTGCATCTAGAAATCCTACTCATTATTAATAAGTTTTAAAAATCATGTCGTCGTTAAAACTAAAATTTACTTGTATTTTAGTGTGCAGTCTACATGCGCCTAAAAGAATGCAGGAGAAACATAGAAAATTAAAAGTGAAGGTCTCGAAGGAGATGACCACCAACAACAGTCACATGATTCGAGTTGTCTTATCGTATCATAAAGCCATTAAAGTTCAATTAGGATCATAAGAATGCGGTAGAAAAAGACAATACGAACGAAGTGTTCTTCCTTAGCAGATCACCAAAGTGTATCGTGTATTTCAGCCGTCGGAAGGCGTAATATTTCACTATATTTCATTGTTATTAATATCTGTATAAAACAATCATATTTACTACACAGATAACAATTTAATAAAGAAAATTTTTGCACAAAAATTTTCGATTTTAATAACCTTATTATTTTTACCATTGACCTTATAAAGCTTCTGCTGAAAATATAAATTGTAAAATCTCACAATATCAACTTGTCAACAGTTATTTTTACTGTTAGTTGACATCAACTGCAAACTTTTAATAAAGAGCTCAATTTAACATCAGAGTAATCAAAAATTTTTGGCATTCGTTTGAGAGAAGACAAAGTTCGTATTCAAGGAATTGTTATGATGTGATGGTATTTTATTATTACTCGTATTTTCGTTTCTAATAATAAATTACAATTTTATTAATACTTCATGACCACAAATAATTCAATTGTACTAAATTTAAATGTTTTTATTAGATGCGTATCTTGAAAATAAAAGAATTAACTACATTGACGTTCCTATTTCGGGACCGCATGACAACCGAAATCAAACGGATCGGTAAAGTATGACCCCTTTTGTAAATGTTGTAATAAGAGAATGAAATGGAACCCATAGTTCTTTTAGCTTTGGGTTGAGTGAAGTTTTTCGAATCGTTTTCTAAGAATTTTGAATTATACGCATTTATTAGCACACCACAATTTATTGTAGTTTTCAGTTTTACACAGCTGGCGTATATCAGTTCGGTATTGTTTTGCGGGATTTTTTGCCGTAATTCATAGAATTTTCTAGTTCCTTACTAAAGGTACGATAAGTGGTGATTTGGCAGGTGCTGATATCAATTTGGAACATCAAAATTCCATGGACCATGACTTTGAACCCGGAAAACAATATTCATCCAATATTTTAGATTATCCATCTCCAAGGAATTTTCTGCCGGTTGTTTTGTCGTAACTCATAAAATTTCGTAGTTCCTTGCTAAAGGTACGATAAGTGGTGATTGGGCAGGTGCCGATAACAATTTGGTACTTCACAATTCCATGGACCATGACTTTGAACCCGGAAAACAATATCGATCCAATATTTTAGATTATCCATTTCCAAAGAGTTTAGAATTTTGTTTTGTAATCTAATTCGGTGCGACCNTATATTAATATAATGTTTGATCGGTGATACTAGCAAAACTTTTAACGGCAAAAATGTATTTTGCATTTTACAAATAGAAAATACGCCTGGAAAAGTATTTTAAATAAAATACCAAATACTTTTCTTAAGAAAGTATTTAAATGCAAGATAAAAACAGGGATATTTTATTTTGTATTTGCATTTTAAATGCACGTATAGTATTTCAAATAAATCACATCTCTGGTTATCATAGTCAAACTCTAATAATAACTGTTACCAAATACAAACATAAAAAATAACAATGAAGAAACGTGTTGCTTTTGTGGGCAAAATCGCTCGTAAATTTTACGAGAGGACGAAAAAAAGAAGGACAATCGGGAGTAAAAATCGTGGAAACACCAATTTATTAAGCACATTTAGAAGCTGGGAGCTCGCGGACACCATTCACAAAGCGTCCCACGTACAACAATATCTGACCCAAGTGATTTGTATCAAAGCGACTCTTTTGGAAACTTGTCTGAATGCAGCCAGCAGGGAAATGAAGGCTTGGTCAAGGTGGGGCACGCGCTAACAGGATCGTGACGTCACTCACGTGGCGAAGAAGATGCCCTCCTAATAAGTCGATCACTCAGCTTAGTTTCTTTATCCGTTCACATTTTTATATTCCGCTTTAATGCAGTTGCCAATCCCGGTTTGCATCTTAACGAATCCTTTACGTAGGACATCATTTTACTATATAGGGACACAATAAAATCGGATA